AATATTGTTTGAACCCAAGGGAGCCATTGAGTCAAGGTATCGTCTGCAAAATGTAGAACATGGCACAGCGCACTGAAATCAGGTTTCGTACTGTGCAAAACATTGAAAGTCCTTACAGTGCAGATGGAAAATTTTAGTTACAGGCATTATTTTGTATAAAAGATTACCTTTTCTGTTCTCTGACTACCCAGCATCAATCTTGAATTTAAAAAAAAAAAAAATCAGTAAGTCCTTATATATGCTTGTGTAAAAGTGTAGTGGGTGCTCCTTGTCATAGCATCACTCAAGCTATGAAGTTATGGCAGTTTTGTTCAAACTGAGAATACCTACTTCCTTATGCTTTCTGTGCTATATGTAGAAATGCTGTAAGATACGTTATACACTAAATACTTTGTCCTCCAACTACAGCCTACTTCAGTTTGCATTTAATTTTCGTGTCGTCTTTACAACGATCAGGAACGCCAGAAGGTGCTATACTTATTTAATGCAGAGATTTGTACTGATTCCATCTGCTGGTAGAGTTTACCCAGAGCCCCCAACAGGAAGGTTTGCTATATTCCAGGCATTTTTCCCTCTTGATTTTCTTACCCCCTCCCCGCTTCCAGCCTATACACAAACTGTGCATGCTTTTCAGATCAAGTAAGTGAGAGGTTGGGTGACAAATTAGACTGGAAGCATCTGTTTCTATGCTTCTATGTTGGAAACATGCTTCTATGTTGGAAATGCTGAGACAAAAATATACTGTATAGAAAGTGAATTAGTGTATTTATCTGTTATAAGTTCATTTTGGAGATGATGGTTCACTAGCCGAGTTGTCCCTGAAATTGGGATACTACTGAAAATAAATTTTACATTTTATGGTAGACTAAGAAAAACTAATAACACAGGTGTACTGTAGAGGACATAAAAAAGCTTTGAAAATACATGAGAAATCTGTATTTTAGTAACTGAACATACTGAATAGGGTTTTTTAACTGGGTCTGATTTTTTTTTTTTAATGTTAGGACTCTTGAAGATTGGGACTTTTCTGTTTGAATATAGGTTTAGGAACTTGTGTTAGCAAATATTTGCCCTTACAATCAAGCATACCAGAATCTAACTTTCAAACTCCCAGGATTTAGGATTTTAACATTTATTTACTTACTTATTTCTTTTAGTCTTTTAAAATATTTCAGTATCTGGTATCTTATAGTTTATCAAGCTATTGATTTAATAAGATACTGCTCTCCAAATTTATGTTTTCTTATGTGCTCTCTTTAAAGAATTCTGTTTCATAAATATTGTACTTAGTTGTTTGCATTGGGAAATTAAAAGCAGGTTTCTCCAGGTAGTTACTTAAAAAAAGAAAAAGATTAAGAATAATAATCGTTTTTTTTATGTCAGTAGTACTGTAAGATTTCTCGTACAGCCTAAACTTCACAGCTAGCACCTACAGTTTCAGATGCTGAGGAGCTTTTTCATCATAAAGTGTCCATGTTGCATTTGGATTGTTGCAGTCCTCTTAGTCAGTAAAATCCTGACACTTTTCAGACTAGGATTTTGAAGAAATTTTGTATGGCCAACTTTAATGAAGTTAAATATACGCATAAAAAATTGCTGGACTGAGACCACAATGAGGTCCTGTTTCTTATGTCTTAAGAGAGTAATTGCAGAGAAAGGAGAAGATTATTATGTATTACATCAGCTTTCCCTTGAGTAGAAAACCAAAGGTTCATTTTGATAACTTTTGTGGTATTAAGTAGATTATGCTTTATAAGCACTGAGGTTTTATACCTAATTCCTGAAGCCACAAGTAGTCTTAAAAGATGTCTAATAATAATTTGAATTGAAAATACATTTATTAGCACACATAAAAGGCAAAAGGTCATGCTGATACAGTATGTGGTGTGCTTTTTCAGCTGTCCTATACTGCTGCTGCAAAACAGAGAGTATTAGTGCTCAGCAGACTTTCAGTATATCAAAAAAAGCTGAAAAGCATCCTTAATCTAATAGTTCTCACAGTATTGCATCTTCCCTGATTGGCAAGATGTGATGTGTGGCATTTGGTAGCACAGCATTAAATATTTTGAATAATCTATATGAACATATCAAACATATGGGCTTGTATTCCACATTGTGCTATGGATCATGTCTTTCTCCTTATGAACACTCTGGCTTTTAAAAGAGACACTAGTTACATGTTCAGTTAAGATAAATGCTGACATTTTTTCTTGCTAAATATCCCCAAGGACAGTATGCAGGAAAACTACAACTCAGACTTCACAGTTGGTTTTTTTTTCGTGATTTTTTTTCCTCTTCTTTTCAGGAATTGGAGATATGAGATAGACCCAAATACCAATCTATTGTATAAAGGCCTTGTGCAGACTTGCAGTTGTAGAAATTAGTAATTACATTTAGTAGTACTCTTTTTTTTTTTTTTTTTTTTTCCCCCTTTGTGGCCCACCATATCTGACAGAGTATTTATATTACCCAGAACTAACATTCTTTGCTCACTTGGACTATCAGTCTACACAGCTTCGGCTGTTCTTTCACCAGTGCTATGATACACTGAATTGGAAAGGAATTCTGATCTCAGCTGCATCATTGTAAAATACAGCTTTATATTTGACACTTTTCCACTGACAACATTTGGATTTCTGTGGATTTTCACGACTGTAACTGAGATCAGAATTCAGTCTCAAGTCTCACTAAGTTTTTCAAAGCCCTACAACATCTCTTCCTTAAATACCTTTGTGTTGTAACAATTCTTGCTGGCAAAAGATGTAGGTAATCTCATGCTTGGTTTTCAGTTAGAAGTTCCTTTTTGCATGGTCCCGTGATTTTCTTCACAGTTCTCCTCTTTAGCCTGAAGTTGTAAATCCGTGCTCTCAGTCACTCACAGCTAAAGCAAATAAAGGATTTGAGGACCTAGTGCAGGACAAAGGTGTTTTATCCAGCACTGGATAAACCTTCCACACTCCTTCTGCCACTGCTCCCATCCTCCTCCACTGCTGCTTAATTGTGGAGGCCCATAAACTCTTTACCCACCTGCTGTTTTGACTAGACAGTTGTGCATGGCATGGGACACCTGGCATGGGTAGCACAGTGCCTTGCTCAGGCTTCCACTAGGCACAAGCTAAAAGACGCAGTGTAGTGTCCTGCAAGGATCCCAAACCAAGAGGCAGCCTCAGCCTCACTCTAGTTCTGACTGGCTTTTTGCAAAATACCGTACTTCATAGGGAGGTATCTTGGCAGTAGCTGCTCCTTGCTTTTTATATCATAGCTTACCTTTTGTCATGCTTACCTAAGGAGTGGAAGCCACAGGAGCAATTTCACACACAGGAAGGTGTCCAGGCGGGTCTTGAATGTCTCCAGAGAAGGAGACTCCACAACCTCCCTGGGCAGCCTGTTCCAGTGCTCTGTCGCCATCACCGTAAAGAAGTTTCTTCTCAAGTTTAAGCGGAACCTCCTGTGTTCCAGCTTACACCCATTGCCCCTTGTCCTACCGTTGGACATCACTGAGAAGAGCCTGGCTCCATCCTCCTGACATTCACCCTTTAAATATTTATAAACATTAATTAGGTCACCCCTCAGTCTCCTAATTATGGTAGTTTCTTCATTATGAACATATCAGGCCTGTGAAATGTGCAACCCTATTATATTACTTATGCAGAGCTGATCTGATCAGTGGAAAAAAGTTGGCATATATCCAGCAACCCAAGAGTTCCACAATTTGTGTGAGAAGGTCACTGAATGAATTTGTGATGCAGATCTTTTGCTGTTTTTCTACCTGGTTGGACGTCTTATATACTTCAAGCGAGTTTGGAAAAATAAGATTAGAAATATGATAACTTTTAACGTTTCAGATTCTGTTATGAGGTGTCTATTTGTCCTTACTGCACAGGGAGCACGGGCACTTGCTGCAATGTTCTGGATTCACTTCTGAAGATCAGGAGCGTACTAGTTTGTCAGATGTTGTTTGATTGAGTCTGGGTATTCTGAACACAATCAGTTTACTCTCTGAGTTAGGCAAGTAAAGGAAAAGAAATGTATTTAATTTGCATTCAGTGGATTTTTTTCCACTGTGAAGGTTTTTTGGGGGTAAATGTTTTATTATACCTGTGAAAGAGTTATAGGAAAATCATCATGTTTTGTGGTTTGATTGTTTTTCATTTCCTAGAAATTTAGAAGAAAACTAAATTTTGTATACAAATTTTGTTATGAACAAATTCATTTTGTTAGTATACTATTAGGGTAATGTACAAAGCTGTCATAAAAATGAGGGATCCTGAGTATAAAATGCCTACATCAACTTTCTGTCCTGATACTTGATAATGAAAATACCAATATTGTTGTCAAATATATGCAGCTTGTGTAACAGACAGTGTCTTGTATAAATTTAACAGGTGGTAGAAGAATAATTTGAAAACCTGACACCCTTTTAAAATCAAATTGTTTTCTCGTAAGAAAGGGGGCCTTGATATTTTTCTTATAGCAATAAAGAGTTGCACATCAACTTTAAAGTTTATCAGTGTAATTTGTCTCTTGCTATAGGTACATGGAAACATCTCTGCCTCTGTGCCTGTATATTATGTAGTAAACTTTTACTTACAGAATCATAGAATGGTTTGGGTTGGAAGGGACCTTAAAGATCATCTAGGGCCACCCCCCCTGCCATGAGTAGGAACACCTTCCACTACATCAGGTTGCTCAAAGCCTCATCCAACCTGGCCTTGAACACTTCCAGGGAGAGAGCACTTCCAAATTTATTGGCCATGCTTTAAATTGGTATTTCTGTAAAGACAAATATGAGTATGTTTTCCAATTATTATCTTCTCAGTATATATTTAGTACTAATATCCATCTTATAAACAAGGGTTAGAAAACAAAATTTCCTCACTGAATATATTAGAAAAATAATAACATAGAAGATACTAAGAGACATATTTTAGCACGTATCAGCCTGCCATATCTTAATTTCAGTGGGATTAATGTTACAATAGAGTTCTGTATAAATTTTAATGGAGTCTGTCTGGTTGTCTCATTTCCCTGGAAGTTGTATTAGTTTGCTCTTTCATGAAGCTGGGGTAGAAATATGGAGAAAAAAAAAATCACTGCATAAAAAATTGTCCCTTTGTTTGAAGGTTCAAGCTCAAGTGCGACATGCCAAACTCAACTTTGACAAACTGAAGACTGATGTCTGTCAAAAAGTGGATCTCTTGGGAGCAAGCAGATGCAACCTCCTTTCTCATGTGTTAACAACATATCAGGTATCCAAAGAAAATGTTGACCTTCAAAAGAAAGATTTTCCATTAATATACGTTTTTCAAGAGGTTACCATGGCAATATTCAACTGTAAGAATATATAACTAGTATTGGAGGGGAAATGTGAAATTTGCACTGAAAGCAGATTGGTGTTAAAGCTAACATTGCATTGAAATTTTATCCTACCTTACAGACAACACTTCTTCATTTTTGGGAAAAAACTTCACACACAATGGCAGCCATCCATGAAAGTTTCAAAGGTTATCAGCCGTATGAATTTACTATGTTAAAGGTAAGGAATATGTCGATGCTTTTGTTTGCCCAGTGATAACAATTAAGAGATCCTAAAAGGAAATAGAAACCACACATTCATATTTTGTCTGTATATTATCTGACAATTTTATCCCAGTCGTGTCTTTTCACTGAAGTACAGGTTTTCTGTTTAATGTACTGCTGACTAGTAGGATCAAAAACTGCATGTAGAGTCAGTGACTAAGGAATTATTTCATAGAAAGACATTATTCAGGGTTGCACTTGAGTATGTGTTTAAGTGCTAACTGGGATTGTGTTTGATTATTCCTAAAGAATCATGAAATCCAGCAGAATTAGGGATTATGTTGCTCTCCAAAATCCTGTAAGTGAATTAGTACTATTTTGCCTTTGCATGTGTTTTTAAAAACTCACACTCTTTAAGAACACCTTATTGGACTGAGTACGAGTACATGAATACTCAGAGTTCCCACACGTGTACCCAGACTTTTTAACCCTTAACTGCTCTGGAAAATACTGTTTTGTTTGACTAGTGGTATTTACTGATCCTTTGTAATCTTTGAGTATGGAATATGTGCAATATCTGGCTGAAATCTGAGTTCAGAGTTTTGCCAGGTATCTAAAAATAAGCACTCAGTACTGTGTATTCTCCTGATCATGCCTGCCCCTGCATAAGAAGTTGCTTTGCTCTTTGCAGTTCAAGGTTCAATAGAGGAATGAGAAAACACTGAAAAAATCTGTTAACTTTCCAGTTATCCCCATAGACATCTTTGTACTGTAGTTATTTTGTGCAACTTAATGACTGCATGATTGGCTGATGCTATTTGCATGGGAGGAAAATAACATTTGTCTGAAGGAAGTCTGACAGAAAGGTTACTACCAGGAGGAAAGTGAAGAATGAACAGCTTGCAGCAAAGCCACTCTTTGCTTGGAGAGACAACCCAGTTTGAAAACAAGTCATAGCCTCAGTCTATGAAATGCTTGTGCATATGACATGCAGAAGTAGAAGTTGGGCTGTCCATAAAATGGTATGTAGCCTGTGGCTACCCCAGCGCTCCTGGAGAAAAAGCACCTGAAGGTATAAGGTTTAATTCACCCCAGACTACCAAACTTGTCTGTACATGACTATGCTATACTTAAAGTTGTTTTCTAGAATGTGAGTTGGGAGGTAGCATTTCTGAACTTTGAAGTGCATAAAGAGCTTGTGGAGACTGTTAGTCCTGCAGCTTGAAACTTCACAACAAATAAACAAAAAATTTCAAGCTCAATCTCTCCTGACCAGAGGATAAAAATAAATTGTTTCATCTTACCCAGCCTCTGAAGAGTACTGTCTTGCAGAAGTCCTCATTTGCTATGAAGTTACCAGCTCTAAGCTTCTTTCTTGCATAGTCCACATCATGGAAGAT